TCGCGGCCGCTGCGCACGAGCAAAAACGCCGCCCTCTCGCGTTCCCGCCCTTCACTGCGCCGCCGCCACCAGCAGCAGCCGCCGCTGCCGCTCTCTTTTCCGTCGTTAGCCGCTTCGCAGGCTTCTGCTGCACCCTAGAACGTCGCTTCGCGGGGAAAGAGAGAAGAAGGGGGAGAGAAAAAAACCTCCACCCACTCCCACAACCAAACGCATTCCTTTCCTCGTTTCTTGATTGTGTGTGTTTTTATTTTTTTGAAGGACGAAATGCCTCGCGGAGACCGGGAGAGCGATTGGGTGAGTGAGGTAACGGGCGGCGTGGGTCCAGTAATGGCGGACCCTTGCTACTGCAACCGCCCTCCTGATGTCCTTATTGGGTTTCCTGGCGGGCGGGCGAAGATGGAGGGGGAGGAAAATGGCGGGCGTAGAGAGAGGAAAGAACGAGAGGGGATTGAATCCACTGCTCAGCCGTTTTCGGGGAAGAAGGTAGAAATCTGAGGGGAAGCTTTAGTGGGTGTTTGAGAAGCAAAGCCCGGAGGTGACTAATGGCGGGCAGTTGAGAGGCCACTCGCCTTTTTTCTTTTATGAGACGTTTTGCCATTATATGCCATGTATAAAAAAAACTTAGACATCAGACTTTTATTTCTCCTTGACTTCAGTAAACCCCACAGCCGTAGAGATAAACCCCCTTTAAACGATTTTCGACTGCCGGGTAGTAGTGTCGATTTAAGAAAGGGAGGAGGGGCCTTGATTAATTGAACTCCCCCCTCCATTTTGGCGCGATTATTGTTCGTCGCTCTTCGGCAATTTCCGGATAACTGCTAAAGGCCTGCTTTTGTTTCGTTCGGCTTTTCCGGAAATGGTCGAAGGATTTTCTCCGAGTAATAAATACCCTTCGTCAGTCTTCCGGCTGAGTCCGAATGTGAGGCGGTTGGGTCCGAAAACGGCCGAAGGGACCTCTTGGGATGACGGTGCGCATTTCGCTTTTGTCGGAATAACCGTGACCAAAAGCCGTTGTTGCGGTTCTTTTTGAGAGAAAATATTCTTAATATACGTGTATTCTAATTAATGGGGCGCTTTAAAGAAAGTGAAATGGCCGTTTTAAAGAAAACAGCGAAGGTAGCGTGTCAACGTGCGTTGTTCGTGTATAATTCTTTTGTTTCGGTGTGTTGTGACAATTCTGTGGTTTCACATACTGTACAGTACAGCATTTTAAAAATGATCCTAAGGCCGTTTGCTAATGGGGGAAATGGTAGGTGAATTTTCAAGTACGTAATATTGAGCGCCGCCATTACCAAAAAGACGGGATCATATTCTCAAACGGGGTTACGTGAAACATGTGGCCTGTAGTGCGCTAACGTAGATTCCTGCGCTAAAGCACGACCGCTGCGTAAGTTTAGGTGTTAGCCGATACAGTACTGTATGCGGTTAGTGCGGATGAACGAAAGCACTAACTGCGGCACGGTACGCCATTAGCGCATGTGCTTGCGGTGACGCAGGATCCGTTAGCTAAGAACACTTGGTGGCGCAGTTGGCGGGACTTGGTACTTTCTGCTGAAGACTGGAGGAAGGTTCTAGAAGGGCCGGCGGCGGTTGGGAGGGGGAGGCGGGGGCATCTCGGCGGCCCTCAAATTGGCCCAGAGAGAATTATGGAGGTCAGTCGTGTTTTTTTTTTCTTCGCGTTTAACGAAGATGCAGTGTTACAAGTGAGATAAGAACGCGTGTGAGGTCACAAAGCGAGTAAATTCGCAAGGGGGGCCGCCTCGCTCTTTCTACCCAGCAGAGAGTAGAGGGCGCATGCGCAGAAGTGAAATAAGAGCTGTTCTTGGCCTTCTGGGAACAAACCCCCTCCCCTTCTACGTCGACGCCATTTTCTATCTCAGTGAGCTTGGGGCCGTCACATGGCGGAGCATTTTTTGCCAGCGACGTGCGGCATTTATCTAGTAACCGAAAATACACTTTAAATGACTTAATATGTTGGCTGCCTTCCCCTCTCTCTTACTTGCCCTTTAAAAAAACCCGTTGAGTTTCAGTTGGTAAATTAGTTTATATCATCAGACAAGTAATGACTTACATATCTTCATTTTCAGATGAAAACGTTCTTGTCCTTTTCAAAAATGCTGCCAGTTTGCCTAGCCCTGTCGCTAGGCACACAGTCTGTAGTGTTCTGGCCAATCTATAATCTTCTCATTAGTTACATAGCTTACTAAATTGCTGAAATGACAAGTCTGTAGGTTGTCTTCGTCATGATCTGCTTGTCTTCAAAGCTTATATGGGTAACACTATTTTTAAAGCCTTAATTCACGCTGGATTGATGATCCTGATGTTCAGATTACCTAATACTTAAAAGTCAAGGCAAACATATGAGACAGTTTCCAGTGTTGCTGTTTAAAGTTTTGAATTGTCTAATTACCAGTTTAGAAATTTAAATGGTATGCACTGTTGCACTAATACCGTCAAGGAAATAGAAAAGCTTTTAGGGTTCTAAAAATGTAGGTTGATGATTATAATGTTCATTTTATAAAGAAAATTTGTTAGTTTACTAATTGCTGTTTGAGCTGTGAAGGAAGCTTGCAGTGTAACACTCAGACTGAACTTTGTTTTCATGCTGTGATGTTTCCTACTTTATTGTGGAGATTGTCCACTGGGGACACTAAAACTACGCCCGGTACTCAGATAATCCATGTAATAATTGCAATAATAGTTTGTATGGAGGCAAAGCATTATGAAAATATAAGCACTGGTTTTGTTATTAAAAGTTCAGTACATAACTAATGCTCATATCACAATTCTAAACCCACAGACATACAGAGTTCTATAGTGGCAGTAAAATGGTACTTCCTTTTATGCTGCACAGGTGAACTGTTTGTTCCAAAATAAGTTTTCAAACAAATCTGTGACATTTTCACGGGTTTTGTCTTTTGGTAGGCATAATTCCTTCATCTGTATTGTAACTTACAATAACTTCTGGTGGAGTTTTTAAAATGAGATTAGCTCTTAAATTTTGTCCCTTTTGCTATCAAGAAGAGATAAATGGAAAGGCCAGACAGATTTTTTTTTCAACTGGATGAACTTACCAAGTTTCTCTGTTATGAAAGGGAGGAAATAAAGTCACCTGGTGCCTTCCAAGTGTCTTATTTACCACTAAGGATTAGGGGAGCATGTTTCTTCCAAACACTTGAGAGAGCTGATAAAGAACCACTACTGTAGATATATATTTTGAGTGCTGCAGGATTTAATGGTCAAGACTTGTAGCAAGAGCAAAGTGGTTCATTAGCATTACATGTTTTTCCAAATATCCAGAGTGTTAAATTGTGAGGCTACATCAATCATTAAGACTTGTTTTTTTTTATTGCTGTCCTTGGAGAATTGTTTAAGACTTCTATGTTGTGTGTGTCTTTCCCAGGGTGTGAATAATGTAACTAATGTCCAACTAACCTCTGGCTTCTTTGTCTTCAAATAAATCTAAAGGTTTACGTAACATTAAAATAACCTTTTCCACTCCTCTGAGTGACCAGAGAAGCTAGAACTTAAGATACTTGTTTTTTATAATTTACTGTGTTGAAGGATGGAAGGTATAATGCTCCTCACTGTCTTGTGGAAATACTAAACGTAATATTAAATGGTGTTTAGATTGTGTGCCATATTGTTATCTTCTTTTTATGTCAGAGAGAAAAGGAGCAGTTCCGCAAATTATTCATTGGTGGCTTAAGCTTTGAAACAACAGAAGAAAGCCTGAGAAACTACTATGAACAATGGGGAAAGCTAACAGATTGTGTGGTAAGTTGTGTTTATTAATCATACTTTGGTTTTTGTTTAAAAAAAAAGAAATGTTTCAGGTGGTCTGATCTTTATCAGATTGGCTTGCTTTTGTACAGTTTTCTATTCCTAGAAAGTGAAACTCAGAGTGAAATGATAGGATACTATAAAGTTCTAGTTTTTGTTTCACATTAATTGCAATATAACATATTGTTAAGAATTTAACCTGTAGGTGATCTTGATTGGATAATAGAGAAACAGATTCATTAACTGATATTTTCTTGTCTATTTATGATAAGAACTGCTAAACACAATCTGTTCTTGCTGGATGACGTATGTAATGGGTTTCAAAAAGACTAAAGTGTTCAAACTCTTAGCATTTATAATGGAGGGAGACTGGATATGCAACCCACAACTTGCAGAAGCCCACTTTTAACTGTAACACTAATGTGGTTGAGTGGTAGATCCAGATCAATTCAGTGCCTGTGCCGTTACGGGTTATATTTGTCTGTATCCGCTTTTAAATTTTTCATTGATCTGTTGCCTCCACTCGTATTTAGTAATTCTGAAATCAGTTATCAAATCACTTGGTTTGAGTGAGTTTTAAATCGCTCAGTGATTAGTGAGAGATGTTTGAAAAAGTTGGTAACTTCTAAAGTGTATTAGTAGAGTAGGAACTTTAAGGGAGATGTAGAAATGTTATAGCTCTTTAAAAAAGGAGGAAGGCTGTGGCTTTTGCAGGTGCTGAAAGGGGTCCTGGTGATATCAGATGTTGAGTTCATATTTTGCCAGTGAACAATGGTTTAGGAAGTGTCCAGGCATCTGCACCTGTTTTTCAGTTCCTGCGTAGCATATTGTTTAAAAAGTTTAGTTGTTCTATTTAAATATTAGCTCAGTAATGCAGAACATTTATATGAGCATGCACATTTTTTCATCTTGTAGGTAATGAGGGACCCTGCAAGCAAACGCTCACGAGGATTTGGTTTTGTAACATTCTCTTCAATGGCTGAAGTGGATGCGGCTATGGCTGCTAGACCACATTCAATTGATGGAAGAGTGGTTGAGCCTAAAAGAGCTGTAGCCAGAGAGGTAAACTTCATTTTAAAGTTGGGAGCTTTCTGTTTTTGAGTATTAAATTACATGTGTGAAGTGATTTTGAGCATTCTAGAGCAGCAGTCCCCAACCTTTTTCAGTCTGTGGACCGGCTGGGGAAGGTGGGGCAGCCTCGTGCACATGTGTGAACAAGCGCTCTCGCATGAGTACCGCCATTTGCAAAAGCGGCACGACGCTTGTCTGGGCGCACTTGTGCTCGTGTGCATGTGCAAACGGCAGCACTTGCACAGGTGTGCTGGAGCGTGTGTGCAGGTGCATACGGGCTATGCGGGGGTGGGGCGGGAGGTCTGTCTCGGCGGCCTGGTCCAGCTCAGGCCACACACCGGGACCAGGGGTTGGGGACCTCTGTTCTAGGGTACTATAAAATTATTCAGTGTTATGAAATCAGTAAAATTCTTGGTTTTAATTAACAAGGGAAATCTTTAAAAGTTCTAGGATTTCTTTTAATAGCAACAATTGATGTTTTTGTTCTAAGTGTTCAGCAAGTGACCTGTTAGTTCTGTTAAATCTTAAAGGAATCAGGAAAGCCTGGGGCTCATGTTACTGTGAAAAAACTGTTTGTGGGTGGAATTAAAGAAGATACTGAGGAACATCACCTGAGAGACTACTTTTCGGAATATGGAAAAATTGACACAATTGAAATAATTACGGACAGACAGTCTGGCAAAAAGAGAGGCTTTGGATTTGTAACTTTCGATGACCATGACCCAGTGGATAAAATTGTGTGTAAGTAAATTTTAAACTCTGTTATTCCTAAAATACATATTTGTTGGGGGGCACAACTGTGTGCTGTTTTTGAAAGAAGTAACTTGTGTTAAGGTGTGATGTAACCATTATTAGAAGTAGTTCTGTGGTGATCCTTCGATTGTTTGTGATGAGCGGTGACCAGAGCCATCATGTGCCACCCTTTCAATGTAAGGAATGATAGATGTGGGCATTCCTTTGCAAAGGTAGTTGTAGTGCCTTTCCTGACCATCCTTATTTCTTCTGTTCTTGTGATACATGATAGGACTCTACATCACTGGTTCTTAACCTTGGGTTACTCAGGAGTTTTGGACTGCAACTCCCAGAAGCCTTCACCACCAACTGTGCTGGCTGGGGTTTCTGGGAGTTGCAATTCAAAAACATCCGAGTAACAAAGGTTAAGAACCACTGCTCTACATTATAGACTTTTAAACTATCTTTTAAGAGAGAACACTATTCTATTTTCTGTTTATTGTGTTAGCATACATAAGGACTCCTGGAGATGTCTGATCTGGCCACAGTGACACATGTCTTCATTAATCCAATATTGATTTCCTTAATGTGCTGTACATAGGGCTGACATTGGCAATTGTTTGGAAACTCCAGCAGATCCAAAATGCTGCAGCCAGACAAAATGTTGCTGGTAACAGGGATCGCATCACACCCCTGTTGCAACAGCTCCACTGGCTTCTAGTCTGTTTCTATGCACCATTTAAAGTGCTGTTTTTTACCCACAAGGCCTAAACAATTTAGATTTGAGCTATCTGAAAGTTCTAATCTCCCTTTATGAGCCTCTCTGGGTTTTTAAATCATTGGGGAATTTTTTTTCCTAAGCAATTGAGTGCCTAAGGGGGAAGTTCTTGAGAGGTTTTTTTAAAAACAAAAAATTTTGTTTTTAGAATAGTTATAAAATGTTAACTTCTCTAATTTTTAATTTGATATCTGCTTAGTTAGTGTATTATGTTTAGTTTTTCAGGTTATTTTAGTATTGTAAACGGCTTTGAGACCTTTTAAGGAGCAAGGGCTAATATAAATATTTTAAATAAATTAAATAATAATAGATGTTTCACTAGCATAAATGGAAGTAAGTTGCCCCATAGAGTTGCAGCATTCATAATTTTTTCTTGAATATTTATTGCGAGTATAGTAAATGATTACTTTCGGTGTTGTAGTGTTTGCTTTCCAATAGTTTTCTTTTAATTTTTTTAGTGCAAAAATATCACACCATTAATGGTCATAATGCAGAAGTAAGAAAGGCTTTATCTAGACAAGAAATGCAAGAGGTTCAGAGTTCAAGGAGTGGACGAGGAGGTATGCTTTATTTGCATCATATTTCATTCTTGAACTTTATTGAAATCCTATTGTAGATAGCTTAATTTATGAAATATTTTTAGGTAATTTTGGCTTTGGAGATTCCCGTGGAGGTGGTGGAAACTTCGGTCCAGGACCAGGAAGTAATTTCAGAGGTGGATCTGGTGAGTTAGATGGTATGGACAACCTTTACAACTATACACATATTAAATCATCCCTGTTTGTTTTCCATAAAAGTACACTGATATTTTCAGAAATAATTTTGAAAGAGGTAGTTTTAGCATGTACTACCAGAAGAGTGGTAGCATCTAAAATGTTTCCAGAGGAGTTGCGGTATATGAAAAAGTAAAATCTAACAGTTCTATTAGGCATTGAAGTGCTGAAATATATTTGTCCTTTGTTTTAATTTTTTTTGTTAGAGCAGCATTTTGAAGACTATCAGATCTATTTTAATGAGAACTTTTGTGGATTATAGATTCAGCATTCTTAATTGCACTTCTTGAAAACTGCTAACAGTACTGTTGTCATTTTGAAAACTCATTGTCAGTCTCCTAGTCACTGTCTTTTTCCAATTTCACTTGATACTCCCTCATATCCTGTTTATAAACTTGTGGCCTTTTATACAGTGGTGCCTCGCTTAACGATTTTAATTGGTTCCAAAAAATTCGTCGCTAAGTGAAAACATTGCTAATGAAATGTATTGAAAACCGGCTAATCCGTTCCAGTAGGAACGAATTGCCATCCTTAAGTGAAAATCGCCATAGGAAACATGGCTAAGCGAAACGCGGTTCTCCAATTGAAATGCATTGAAATCTATTCAGTGCATCTCAATGGGGGGAAAATTCAACAACAAATTAAAAAAGAGTCAGAACAAAGTCAAATTTTGTTAACAAAGGGTTTATTAAATGCACTTTATGATTTCAAACATTTTAAACAGTAAACTTTAACTTTATAACATTTAAAAAACAGCAAACATGAGGCTGTTTAAACCATCGTTAAGCGAAACGGGACCCAAAAATTTAATCGTTATTCGAAGCATGGTCCCAACATTGCTAAGCGAAAATCGCCCATAGGGACCATCGTTAAACGGAGCGCAAAAACACTCAGAAAACGTCGCTAAGCGAATTCATCGTTAAACGGAGCGCAAAAACGCTCAGAAAACGTCGCTAAGTGAATTCATCGTTAAACGGAGCGCTCGTTAAGCGAGGCACCACTGTACTTTGTATGTCTGATAAAGTGATTGTAATCCATGAAAACATATCTTGAAAGAAATCTGTTATTTTAAGTTGCGAATACTTGTCTTTTATCATTTTATGTAATGGAAGCAAATGGCCATAGCTGCTAAGGCTATTCATGCTTTTCATGACAAGATTGAATACAATAATTTCTGTAATAAGAAAAAAAAGATTGCATTAATACTAAAAGTAACTTCATGGCAATTGTGTTGTCTTGAACAGATGGCTATGGAGGTGGTCGTGGATTTGGTGATGGATACAATGGATATGGCGGGGGACCTGGAGGTTAGTCACTTAAATTATTTGATTTGAAAAGCTGTGGCAAACAGTCGAGCTTACACATTTTGAAGCAGAAGCCAAGTATCTGCTGATGATAGAAGTTAACAAAAATATGAGTTTAATTTGTTCTTTTTCTGCGTATCATCAAAATTTTTATTTTTTCTAAACATATAGTAATAGGCTTTTCAACAGTATTCAAATAATTGTATGGCATGGAGGATATGACTATACTGTGTATTTCTGTGCATTGTGTATGAATTTGCAGTGTGGCTTTAAAAATGTTCAGAACCACATGCAGGCCACTACCCACAAAACTGCAACTACTTTACGTCAGGTGCTATACAGAAATTTTAGGTCATTAACATGTGACATAATACTTTGTATTGTTTTTAAAACTTTTGTGAATGTGTGATAAAGTATAAGATTTTTTCACAATTAATATTTAGACGTTCCCTGCACATTTCATAAATGCTTAAGAAGTTCTTTGGGTTCTGGCTGTAGGGCTAAGTCCCAACATCTCAGTAGTGTTTGCAACAAAATCTTCATGCCTTCATGCCAGCTCTAGGGAGTAGAATTTTCTGGAGAGTAATGGGGGCTGCAGTTAGAGAAGACTAATTTCACTGCATGCTGCCATTCTACACATGTACTGTCACCGGATAATGCTTGTTGGAAAGATCATTATAAGATTGATTCAGTTTATGTGGCCAGCACATTATTAGTTTTTTTATTATGCCTTACTTTACAATAGGTGGCAATTTTGGAGGCAGCCCTGGTTATGGAGGAGGACGAGGAGGATATGGTGGTGGAGGACCTGGATATGGCAACCAGGGTGGGGGCTACGGAGGTGGATATGACAACTATGGAGGAGGTAATATTTGAAGGGGGTGGCTGTTTTAAAGTAGTGTTGGTTTAGATCAGGGTAGGTAGCTGAGGCCCTTCTGGATACTTTGATCTAAAACTCCTTTCTGACTTCAGGTGTCATAACCTGTAGCCTTTAGTTAGCTGTATGTTTGAATTAGAAATAAAACATTTGAAAAGTTGTTGAAATACATGATTGTCACACTTTAGAAAATGTTGATTTATTTAAAATACATACTTTGTGAAGGTAAGCATTATTCCATTCGGATTAGTTCTGCAATTATTATTTTTTTTTAAGTCACGTGGTTTCCTAGGCTTCAATTTTTGTGCTACCAGCTTCCTCTGTTCTGCTCATTTTGCTTAGTCTTAACCTTCCTAATAGCTGTTTTCCTTTTAAATTTCATTTTTCTTGTGTATCAGCTGAAATGGGACAGGAGTCTCAGCTGGGCTGAGGAAACATTGCCTGTGCAGGACAAAAATGACATCCTGTTGTCACCTTGCTTGGTCTCTACTGCAGCTGCATATTGGGGAGGCGCAGAATGTTATTTTGGTTATGTATAATCTGCATAAAGTTACATATGAGTGAATTATTCTTCCCTTTCAAGGACTAGTTCCCAAGTCCCTACCATACAAATTGACTTGTTTGTGTGTGCAGAGATAAAAGTCCCTGGCATCTTCTAGAATGTTGGTTAACATGAGTAAATTCTTTTTACTCAGGCAATTATGGAGGTGGAAATTACAATGACTTTGGAAATTACAACCAACAACCCTCAAACTACGGTCCAATGAAGAGTGGAAATTTTGGTGGAAGCAGGAACATGGGAGGACCATATGGTGGAGGTATGTCGAAATGAAATAACAGCTAGCTACTCCTAACTAGGAGTAGCTTTAGTGGTGTAATTAAACAAATGGCATATTCTTTGTTCCTTTTCTTGTTAGTGCTCTGTGTTTGAGAAAGTAGTTTTGGAAGAGATTTGAGGGACTTCTGGAACAACCTTTGGGGTGGGAGTCATTGTTTCTTGCTGTAATTGTGTGAAGTTGGTGACATGTTAGTTTGCTTTCATATAGGTTTACCCTTGAGTGCTAATTTTACTTTTTGCAATCTACAAATACAGGAAATTATGGTCCTGGAGGAAGTGGAGGAAGTGGGGGATATGGAGGGAGGAGTCGTTATTGAACTTCTGTAAGCTTTTCATGGGTGAGTGTACTTTTTGAAATTCTAAAATTTCAGTGTTTCTTGGTTTTAGCTGCAGGGGTAAAAGCTTTTTAGGATCATATTATCTTTCCTTTAAAAAATATTGGGTAGATGGATAACTTCATAACCTATTTTTTTACTCTTTACTTCTGTTGAAACAGGCTTCACTGTATAAATAGGAGAGGATGAGCCCAGAGGTAACAGAACAGCTTCAGGTTTTCGAAATAACATTGTTAAGGAAACACTTATCTCAGTCATGCATAAATATGCAGTGGTATGGCAGAAGACACCAGAGCAGATGCAGAGAGCCATTTTGTGAATGGATTGGATTATTTAATAACATACCTTACCATGGAGGAAGGATTGTAAAAATGCCTTTGAGACAGTTTCTTAGCTTTTTAATTGTTGTTTCTTTTTAGTGGTCTTTGTAAGAGTGTAGAAGCATTCCTTTGATAATGTTAAATTTGTAAGTTTCAGGTGACATGTGAAACCTTTTTTAAAAAAAATTTCTCAAAGTTTTGAAAAGCTATTAGCCAGGATCATGGTGTAATAAGACATAACGTTTTCCTTTTAAAAATTTAAGTGCGTGTGTAGAGTTAAGAAGCTGTTGTACATTTATGATTTAATAAAATAATTCTAAAGGAAATGTTGTGTAATTATAGATTTATTTAAAGTATATTGTAAATCAAGGCAAGGAGTGGGTAGTAGAAGGTCCCACAAATACTGCAGTCATTGTTGTATATGTAAAATGCTGGTCAGATAATGTTTTCTGTAAATCACCAGGTTTAAAATACCTAGATAACTTAAGGGATATCTCTGCAAGGAGAAACACCTTTTTAGATCTTTTAGATGCTGCTTCTTCAATGGCAAGGAAAGGAAATATCCCCAGCGAGGTACTCTTCCAGGGACACAGGTCTAGTGCAAGAGAACTCTTGAGAACGGCACTAAGTTCAGCCAGTCTTAAAAAGCTGTGCTGTACTTCTGCAAAGCTTTAACTACAGTAGTTTTAAGGATGCCAACGAAAGCTGAGGGTGTAGAGCAAAGTAGTTCTAAGCTTCAGTTAAACTTCTTTAGGTAAGATCTTATTTATTTTTTCTTTCTTAATATTCCAAAAAAAGACTAATACTATATGACAGTGTATTGTTTCAGTATAGTGGTTATATTAATTAGTTTAACATAGAAATGAACAAAGTTAACAATTGTATATTGCAAAATATGAATTCTGTTTTTATTTATTTGGGGGTGTGGGGTTTATTGGCTGTTTATTTTCTGTTATGGTTTTATTTACTTTAATTTCAGCTACTTAACCTATCTTTTCCCCTACTGGAATCTAGCTTTATGCACCATGGACAAGCAATAGACCTGCTGAGCAAAAATGAACCAGCCATGTGGCCATTAATGCTTTGCAAGGGTTCCATCCCTGCTGTGGGTAGTTAAAATGGTATGTTGCAGCTCATTTACATGGTTCAGTTTCATGTTTTTGTCTTTCATTTTCATCAGAGTCTAAACATTTAAATGCTGGTTGCAAAAATTAGGGCAGCCATAGGTATATAATGTAACTGAAATTCCTTTGCTATGAAAACTGTGCAGTCTATTTTGTAACTTTTTGTCTGAAGACGTCCTTACTGTAGAACTATTAAGCGCAAAAATAATTTCTTTCACAGGTTTGTGACAGAGGGTGGTTAGTAGTGTGCAAGAAATATAGGCAAGAGGTTATAGATACCTGAGGTGGAATTTGGTGAGGATGTTAAACTTATTCTTGCACATTTCTTTAATAGTGTGTTTCAGTATCAGGTTTCTCAGGCAAAATTTACAAAATCATCACCAATTTTATTTTATTTTTGACTCGGATATTTCAATTTTAAAAGCCTCTGTTTGGTACTATCTGTGTAACTTTAAAAGCCTGGATTTTCCCTCATCTGGTTTTGTAGCAATTTGCTGAAAATTTCCTATAACTTTTACAAAGAGGCATATATGATAAAACATCTTCAGATACTTTCTTTTTCTTTGGCAGGAAGATGCCAGGCTGCAGGTAATTAATGAAGAAGTGGTCAACCACAGAAACTTTCAAGACATAAGACAATACTATTGTCATCACAAAATAATTGGTTTTACTGGTTTTATTAATACCTTTTGGGGTTGAATGAATGCTACTGCAGCCTACAGAAACACTTTTTTAAAATACATGAAATTATAGTTTTAAATTGTTTTTAGAATTCAGTGTGGATAGGAAATGAAGACTAATGTTAAGACAGCAAACACTGTTATATTTTTATAAGCAACATAATAAAGTTTTATACAAAAATATTTCTAGTCTGAGAAAAGTCTGACATTTTATGGAGTTAAAACAATTTATTTTGTTACCTTTCGGTATTTGTTACAGTAACCCAAAGAACACATTTTATATGAACTGCAGAGTAATGGTGTCTATATAACCAAATGTTACTATGAAGAAACAGAATGGAGAATAACTCATTTTATCAGTATAAAGAGCAGCTACAGCTGGTAAAAGGAGGGGGATCCTTTTTAATACCATGTTTCCCCGAAAATAAGAGGGTCTTAAACTTGTTGTTTAGTCGTGTCCAATTCTTCGTGACCCCATGGACCAGAGCACTCCAGGCCTTCCTGTCTTCCACTGCTTTCCGGAGTTTGGTTAGATTCATGTTGGTAGCTTCAATGACACTGTCCAACCATATCACCCTCTGTCATCCCCTTCTCCTCTTGCCCTCACACTTTCCCAATTGCTCAATAAAACAGCATCTTACATAGATAAGGCTCAGCAAGTATTCACTAAGATTAGACTCCTTGAATATCTCACTTTAGAAGCCCTATTAGGGTCACTATTAGTAGGTTCCAACTTGATGCCACAAAATATCAATACAGAAGTAACAGCAACAACAAAACAAGGATAAACAGGCAACAAAGATCAAAACTCAGGTTATACCAATTAAATAGGCCCAGGTTATTTACTGCTTCTGTACTGTATAATTTGTTCAATATTGGGTGCCAAGTTCTACTTGCATTTCATTGTATTCAAGGATGAGGACAGTTGCAAAGCTAACTAAATTTCAGGTGTGATCATTAAACTGGCATTCAAAGTGTTTAATAAATGAGGTAGACATTGCTTCAAAATATGCTTGATAAGAAACATCCTTGTGTATACAGTACACATTCTTGAAAAGTAGCAGCTTAGAGTAATGGTTTCAGGAACAAACCTGTTTCTCCAGATGTAGGAATGGGACTAGAGAAACCTGCTTGCCCAGCAATAGCAGTTGGCTAGAAATTTGTGGATGCAGTGGAGACAATGCTTGCTGGGCAGTTTCTCTGCATAAAACAAATATTCTCCAGTAATTTACTTCCTCAAAAAGGGAACAAATACTATCTTAGACCGTAAATGAAATGGCATGTTTCTTGAGAGTCAGAAGGTGTGCTGTAAAAGCTCCAGGTTTGGGCAGGAGCTGAGTGAAAAGGATCTGCAAAATATGCTCTTGAAGCAGGAGCTGCTGCTATTTTATCATTGCAGCCCTCTGTCAATATTATTAGCTGACAAAAATGAAATATAGTTTTTGCTCATGACTGAAGTTTAGAAACAATATAAAACTTAAAGTTTGATATTGTAGGTGGAAAAGATGCCATTTTCTTGGTCGTGAAAATTCTAGTGTGTCAAAACACCCAAGACCCATCTACAGCTTGCAGATGCTATGATTCTATCTACTGTTACTATTTTCTGTTTAATTTCTTATGCTCCAACTTGTTGCCTTTATAGGTTCAACCCGATACTGCCATTGCTTACAGACTAGATTAACACATCTTTCTTGGTCATCTCATAATCTCTCAAATTCTATTACATTGGGCCTTTCCTTCCTTTAGTTTTTATTTCTGTGCTTGAAGGTGAGACAGGTCATTTTTCAGGTTTATAATTGTGTCCAGTTTACATTTGCGGCAGTTTTGAGCAGCAATTTTGTTTTTTCTTTTCCTTATGTCACGAATGAGTGATAACTGAATATCTGTTAGGTAGTGTTTTGATAGCATACTAGTAAAGGAATCAATAGGCAAGGTTGCAATTTCGCTTAGAGAATGGAACTTTCAGGGCTTTAACAAGGAATTCATCACAACTTTGTTTTTTATTTATGTTGACAGTTCTGTTTGTGGCTTTATTGGATTTCTCCAGTTGTGTGAGGTAGTGCTCTGACATGACAGTTGATGTGTGATCTGACTGTGTCGTCATGATGAAAACATCTACAAGCAGTTCTGTGCTAAGGCTTTAAGAGCTTTGATAATTTTTACAGCCATAATTGCTGTTTTTTGGGGGGGAAACCTAGGGCTCCAAAAGCATCAGAGGTTAAAGATTCAGCATCACGCAGGTGAAAATAAATGATGAATTGCTATAATTGAGATATAAATAAAGTCCAGAAGCAGAAACTGCTTCTTCGAAAAGATAGGCTTTCACAAGATCTTCTTCCAGGGCTAAAGATGATAGATTTATTTCATCAGATCCATTTCCGTCAAAATTCAAGAAGAAATCCTGATTTGTCAGCTCTGATGAAAATGGCCCATGCAAAGTAGCATTGAGCAGTGGTTTGTTGTAGCTGGCTATGCTAGAATTGAGTGAAAGAGTCTAGTATATCCAGTTCTCTCTTTTCTGCTTTACTGTGAAGACATACTATTGCATCATAAAGGCACACATTGTGGTTGATAGTCCGGATGAAGTCTTAAGTGTTGTGCAGGCCTAGCAAGTTCACACTTTCCTTGTTGCTGGCAAGCACAGTGTTACCCATCTAAAAAAGGAAAAGCCAAGGAAACATGTTTTCTATACATATTAGTATGTTGAAACCAAAAAAAACAAACCTTTCCTATATCTTTAAGTTGCTAAATTGAATGTTCTTGAAGAATGGGTAGTGGGTATTTAGAACAGCCATTATCAAAGGGCCATATGCCCCCCTGGCACATTTGAAGGGGGACACTGACTGGAAACAATTAGTCACTGGTAAATCTTAGATTCATTATGTAATTTATGCAATCCTCATTCAACCCATATAGTGTTTATGGTTGTGGCAAAAAAAAAAAACAGTTTAGAATGTCTGATTTAGAACGTTCTGTTGTCTCCGCAGAATTCTAAAAAAACTTTTGTTTTCTTCTCTCAGAAATAGCTTTGTGAAAATAGCATTCAATGGAGTCAATATTAAAGGTGGCAACACAATCTAAAGTAACCATCTATAATCATTTGGCTAATACCTTTTACTGCTACCACCATCAATTACCAATCCTTTCATCTTCCTTTTCACCTCTTTCAGTCTCTTGTAGTGGAATTACACACACTAAATGCAACGTTGTATACACTTAGACATTTGTACTTAAAGTGTATTTTTAGTCAGTTATGTTAGCAGTGGAATACTTTATAACTTTCCATGAAGAGAGTCGGACATGTTTTTGTAGTTTGTGAGGGGAAAAAAGTTAACACTAGATGCCTTCAAAAATATGAGGAAAGAAGCTACTTGGAACTGAGAGATTTCTAGAGAAAAACAATGTCATTTTAGACACCAAGGATTAAGTATTTAATAATTTATTTGAATTGCTTTATCACATTAAGTATCTAAATATGTGATTCACTGAGCAGCTTTTACAAAAAAAGTGCAAGCAGTTATG